CTTGTTCTGTTAATTTCCTCCATTTCATCTCTCAAAATGATTCTTTCTCTGTTATACAGAATAGTCAGTTCTCTTCTGTGCTCAAACTTGTGTAAGTAAATCCACCAAAAGGACTTTGTAAATTTCTTTTATTTTTTGAGAGAGAGGGAGAGATCACGAGCACGCAAGCCAGGGAGGGGCAGAGAGAGGGAGAGGGAAATCATAAGCAGGTTGCACTGTCAGTGCAGAGACATAGGCTTGAGCTCATGAACTGTGAAATTACGATCTGAGCCAAAACCAAGAGTCAGATGCTTAACCACTTGAACCACCCAGACACCTCTGTAAGTTTCTTTTAAACACATACTGTTTTAAAACCTAGCAGACTAGATATTTATCTGTAAAGAGTAGGTATTTACCCAAGTGCTATTAAATCCTGTATTAACATAAAAACCTGTATGTGAATGTTCTATAGCAGCCTTATTTGTAATCTTTACAGACTGCAAGCAACCTGAATGCTGTAGTACATAGGAATACTACTTGATAATGAGAAATATTGATTAACATATCTTGAAGACTGGAGTATTTAAGGGTTCAGATGGATTAGAGTGCCAGCTCTTGGCAGTTGTATGTGTGCCCATGAGGAGCTCCTAGTCTCTTGTCCAGTGACTAGCAGACCATATCCATTTTTCTTCATCTTCACATCTGAATGTCTCAACTACAGGGAGTCTGAATTGGAAAGGAATTAAATGAAGTAGGGAGAGATTAGCATAAACATTTCCTCCTTTCTCTGCTTCAAGTCTTTTATTTAACATTTTGGCCCTCTGGTTATTCTTTTTTGTATGCTGCCTCATTTTTTTTAATCCCATTGTTGCTAACAAATCTTAGCATTTGTTGTCAGAAATGATCTATTTACCTACGTTTAGTCAGTTAAAGTACAGGAATATCTGCATGCCAGTAGCTATAATTTTGTGTGCGACAACTTTGAAAATAAGAGACGATTTTGTCTTTCCCAGAGGTGCAAAATGTTTATAAAATTTTGGAAAAATTTTTAATGGCTTCTGATTGAAAGTTACCTTTTAATTATGAAATAGTGTAACATTACAGAAAAGTACAGGAAAAATAATGAATATTGCTCAGATTTACCGGTTCTCAATATTTTGCCATATTTGTGCCATAGATTTTATTTATTTTGTAAACAAAATATCATACTCATAATAACTTGATTATACATTTTATAAATGTTTATAAGTAAAATGATACATTTGTTTGCTTATAAATATTGAGTGTGTTCTATTTCATATTTTGGCACATAGTTTACTAAATAATTTCTGAGTTTTAATTCTGTCATTTATTTGCATAACTGCTGAATGTTGGGGAATCTGTTGTCTTAATTTTGTGGATGTGATGCTTATGTAAATGTGCTGCAGTTTACAGTGCATAAATAAAACTTACAAGGTATATAGAATTTTTATCCGTAATTTCAAGCAGATATAGTACCTGGTTTGCATATACAACTTGTAGAAGTTTACTAATGAACTCCCTTCAGAATTAATTAACTACAGAGAGCTGCCTAGCCCCTAGGTGATTTTGTTACCACATTTTATTTAATAGGAATCCAGTCATAAAATACATAGAGTTTATACAAACACATATTCAATATTTTGAGTATTTTTGTAATTAGAAAACTCTGTTGCTTATCCTTAAGTACATAAAATCAGTGGGTAAGATTGAATAGATGAAAGTAGTTCCTGAATAAATGTATTATCCAAATAGTGTACTAGCTGCTGTAAACTTCTAGAAGAATCCTTTCAAAGGAAAATAAAACCGTAATGTATAATGTGTGTGTGTGAAGCGGGGGGAGGGTAAGCTGCCCAATATGTATGCTGTGATGTGGTTTTTATGAAACAGCACCTCTTTATTGCTTTTTTGTTGTGTATGAGCTAGAAAAAAGTATAACATGTCCCAAATTGGAAATTTTAAAGTAAAGGTAGGCTGGAGCTGGAAGTCGAGGGCCATGTACAAGTTTCCTGGAGTGTTTGTTACTGATATAGAAACGTGGGCTCTCGCTCTCTCTCTGTCTCCCTTTTTTTCTTTTAAAGAAAAATGGAAGTATAAAATTGGGTTTATTCACAAAATATATATTGATGAAGAAACCTGGGCTCTGAAGTTGGTGGTTCCAACTTAATGGGTCTGAGGCATGGGAGTCAGTCCTGTAACAGGTGCCCCAGGTGACTTTAATGTAGGTTGTTAGTAGACTACACTGATGCTGTAGAGGGGAGATTGCAGATTATTTGGCTGGCCTGATTCACCATTGTGTGTCCTGTCTGGATCCTGATGGCAGTAGCATTTGTGGTCCATGAAAAGAACTTGTTTACTTAAAGGTGATCCATGCATCTAGCGGTTTAAAAAAAAAAATTTTTTTTTTAATGTTCTTCTCAAACGTTTAAGAAATGGAAATTTTTGGAAAGAAAAAAGAAAAGGCTTAATCTCTAGTCACCCTTTAGCCAGTCTTTTTATCCACTGAGGTTTCTTCTGTGCTCCAGGACAGAAAGTTTCAGGGGTGAGTGAGGGGAGCAAATGTGGATTTAAGACTTCTAAAAAATATATACTACTTCAAATAGAAACAGAAGTAGATTAGTAAAATAATAGTAAAATAAACCACCCAGCTCACATGACAATGTTTCTATTTGTGATTACTCATGGTGGGGGCCTCTGGCCACCTGGGCTGCTGTAATGGTTTTGAGGGGAGAGATGCAGGAAAAAGTAGCAACTGTGGAGATGATAGTGCTGTGGATACACCATAAGAATTTTGAGATGTGGTTACAAACTGGAGCTGCTAAGTTCAGTGGTAAACCCTGTTCCATTATTTTGAGTTTCTGAGACTTGGTCCCACAGTTACATGGCCCAGCTGTACTTTGGACTAGATCATGTTATTATATTTTCTGCTTTAAACCATACCCTTCTTGAACAGTGGAGGTTTTTCTCCCTTTGCTGAGGGTGTGGAGTTGGGCATTTGAATCTTTTTCTATTGGTCTTTGCAAACTAGTAAATGAGCTTTTTTAAAGTGCCTGGTGTCAGAGGGTTTTGATTCAGTTGAAGGTAATAAGCCTGCAAAAATTGAAACATCTATTTGTTAAGCCACAAAAGAAACCAGTAGCTGTAAAAAGTTTTGTTTCGTAAAACACCTAGGTATTCAGATTATTACAATGAAACATTAGTTTGGAATTTAAAGTTAGCTGGTATTGGGAAAGACCAGAAAAAAGTTTGGAAGGCTAGTCTATTTAAAAAAGACTACTAGGGGCGCCTGGGTGGCGCAGTCGGTTAAGCGTCCGACTTCAGCCAGGTCACGATCTCGCGCTCCGTGAGTTCGAGCCCCGCGTCGGGCTCTGGGCTGATGGCCCGGAGCCTGGAACCTGTTTCCGATTCT